ACTACTTTTTTGCCTCAACATTGTTGTCCATGAGTCCATTTCCCACTGCCAAGAATGAAAGCAAAGATTCTGCATGGCCATAAAAAGCCAAAACACAGAGGACCTTACAGGAGACATCATTAAAAGAGAGAGCAAATTCTGCTCCTGCTAAAATACAAAGAAAACCTGAGACAGCCTAAGGTCACCTGCCTACTAGCACACTTTCCTGCAGGACTTAAAACAGTCTCGAGTTCATTCATCTGAGCACTACCATGCATTCTTAAAACTAGTAAGATGTACCTTCCTATCAAATAATTTTGAAATGTATGGTTTAAAGTAGTGTTCCTTTATTCCTTTTGCTTCTACTAAAAGCCCATCATGCAGCTCACATAGTGTGGCAATGATGCAAGGAGGATCTTCAGAGGCTTTGATCTCTGTGCTGTGGCAGTCTGCTGGTAAGCCTGGGAACAAGGCAGGGGAAAGAAGAAGACAGACAGCAAACCTTCAGCTTCATTTAAACAGAAAACAAGACAATAAAGCTCAGCTGATTTTAAATAATCTGTCCTCACTGTACCTTTAAATGATGGATTTAGCAAATCTCTTCTATTTGGACACAAAAGGGCATTGGCAAAAATCAGGTCCAAGCAGCAGAGAAGCAAATGATAGGAATTTACTAAATCATCTCCAATCATACGGAAATTACCTTCAAGAGACAGCACATCATGTCAAGCAACACAACAGAAGTTCACAACTCAGCATGTAGACAAACCATGCAGCTGAACACAGCAAGCCTACCCTTCGTGTACACAAAGAGAGTCCAGCAGAAGTTGAAGAGATCTTTGACACCACACGGCATCCGCCTGCCAGCGAGGAAAAGGGAGAAGTCAGTCCTCAGCTGCTGGGAGCTGAAGCTTGCTCTACAGAAGGCATTTCATTCTGCTTCCTTGCTCCAGAACAGCCAGAGCTGTTGTCTCCCTCAGGTCACACTAAGACACAACCTAAGTTTCCTTGTAATACATCCTTGTTTCAGTTTTCACCAGCAATGCCCCCTGCACAGCAGCCTGTGTGCTCTGCACAGCACCCCCCACCTTCTGAGCCAACAGCTGCTCCTGGCCTGGCACCCTGGACACCTCGTTCTGCTGGTGTCACATCTCAAACAGGATTCTCTCCTGCAGCTGCAGGTGAGGAGGTGCCAGGGGCAACATAAATTCCAGTGATGAAACCATCATTCCTAAATATTTTACTCAAGTCATCCCTTCAAAATATGCAATGACATCTTCTACTACAACTCACCTGCTGAATCATGTTTGGAGAAGAGATAATCATAGAATCACAAACTGGTTTGGGTTGGAATGGACCTTAAAGCTCATCTAGATCCAACCCCATGCAGGGGCAGGGACACCTCCCAGTAGGTCAGGCTGCTCAGATCCAAACCCACAGAGCTGGGAGACCAGGGCAGACCTCACTGAAGACAACCACAGAGAAGCTGAAGCTGCAGTTACACTAACAACACTGGCCCAGTGAAGGAGCCCTGAGAAAACTCCTCTCAGTACAACCCAGCAATGCCCACATTACCTGCCAGCCATGACAAGCTGTAGCAGCTGAACTTCCCTTTCTACCTGTAGATGTGTAGCTATGCTGGAGTATTTTGCCAGAACAGTTATCCCCCCCAGATCAAGAGGACACAAAAGTGAGCAAAACCACCCTGCAGAGACTCAGTCCCCTTGTTGTTAAGGTCACCCTCTCCCTACAAACTACCTCACGGTCAGCAGAAAACATGGACAAGATCCTTTGGTTAAGGCAGAAGTTTGTGTGCATCTGGAAGACACCACCACCAGTCACTAAGTTACTCCCAAACATGAGAGCTGTGACTTTCTTCCATTTGCATGTCTCCACAGAGAGGCCCTGTCACCTCAGAGCTTTACATCTATTGTTAAAGTACAAATAATGATCTTAATTTTCATAAGCCTGGCCACAAAGGTGATAAGAGGGCTGGAGCATCTCTCCTGCAAAGACAGGCCGGGAGACTTGGGGTGTTCAGCCTGGAGAAGAGAAGGCTCCAGGGAGACCTTAGAGCAGCTTCCAGTGCCTGAAGGGGCTCCAGGAAAGCTGGGGAGGGGCTTGGGACAAGGGCAGGGAGGAATTTGTGGGGGGGAGGAGGGGAGGGAGGTGGTTTAAAACTGGAAGAGTGGAAATTGGATATTAGGATGAAATTCTTGAGTGTGAGGGTGGTGAGACCCTGGCCCAGGTTGCCCCGGGAAGCTGTGGCTGCCCCATCCCTGGCAGTGTTGAAGGGCAGGTTGGATGGGGCTTGGAGCAGCCTGGGCTGGTGGGAGGTGTCCCTGCCCATGCAGGGGGTTGGGACTGGATGAGATTTAAGGTCCCTTCCCACACAAACCAGTCTGTGATTCTATGAAACCTGCATAAGGTACAGTCCTTTCCAGGGAAAAGTCACATTAAACCCCCAAAGTACCTCTGCTTCCTGCTTCGCTGTGGTTTAGAAGTTTCTTCATATGGGTTTTGAAATATATCCAAGAATATTGGTTCAAACTTTTTGAAAATCACAGTTGACACTTCAAAATTCCTCTCCAGCCTCTCCACTCGCTCTCGGAATTCCTGTGGCAGATTTGACATGTCCATCCACTTCTTCATTTTGCTAAAAAACTGAATTAAACTTAAAAGAGAAAGGAAAAGTCTGCTTTATTTGTAGCTTTAATTAACTTCCTTTGTTCTCATTTTTGTAAAGCCAAAATGCAACATATTTACTCCTTAGCGACTCATCTGATCAATAAATGCATTTACCATTTATTTTGATAAGACACCCAAACTGAAAATATGAAAAACCTTTTGCTTTTTATCACTTTTTCTCCTTGACTCTCATTAAGGCACAGGCATGGAAACACTACTTTTACTTAAGGGCTGCCAGCAAAGCTGCACCAGCCAGGGCAGGGGTATAAAGGAAAGAGCAGAGCTTGGTGCGTGTCACGGGGAGGCAAGAGAGGCAACAACACCACAAAGAGCCTGCACCTGTCAAAGTTACCTCCACAAAACCCCATTAACTGTAGGTGTAATTACACTGGCAACCCCCTCCCCTCAAGCAGTTCAGATCTTTAAGTGGAAGCAGGAACATTCTGAGTTCTGCCTTCTCAGGTCACAGCCACAGTAGCAAGCAAAGCTGTGGGTGCCAGAGACCCCCCCAGAGACCCCCGTGGCACCTCAGGGTGGATGAGATGGGCCAGTCCCCTCAACCACCCCCAGCTCTGCCCGACAGCTCCAGGCAGACACGGGCTGTGCCTGAACTGACAACAGACCATCCAGAGGTCTTGTTTGTGTTGCAATTAACTACAAAGAGAAAAAGAAACAGCTGGCGTGGGCGGAACAACTGTCGATCCCACGTGGGTGGTTTTTTGAAAGCTTCAAGTTGAAAATTACGTATTTGCATCTTATTTCCATTTATAACAAAAGAGGATTTACTGCTTTTATACTGTTACCTCGGGACATGCATTTTGCAGCGCTTGGAGCCGCGAGAAAGGGTGTGGGTGCCTGAATTAGCGGCTTTAGCAGAGCACCGAGCTAACGGGCGTCGTGCCGGAGCAGCCGGCGATTAACCACAGCAAATAGCACACCGGGGCAGTTCACCTGAGCCTC